TAATGCATTTTTTGCGATGCCTGAAAATGTTCTCCTTGGAATGGTAACGGATTCAAGGCTTGCCGTTCGTACAGATGCACTGAATAAAATCCTAAAAGCAAAAGAGGAAGAGACAAATATTATTGGGTCCCAAGTAAGATATAATATTGTCCCGAAAGTTAATTTTGAAGCAAATAATTACGCAGACATAATTGCGTGGATCAAAATGATGTTTTAATCACTGTCCCTCCAGTTTTGAGAAGCATAAATACAATTGAGCTTACCTCTAAACTTTCCGTACCTGACGGTGTAGTACCTAAGTGGAACTTCACTTCTTTTCCTTGTCACACTGTTGCTGTAGAGGGAACTATAAAGTTAGTCACGGAAGCCTCAGCAAAAGTCATCGGCCCCGAAGCTCGTAACAGACATATAAGGTCAACCCTTCTTTCTCGTCAAGCTGTACCATTATTTGACAGTGAGAGACAATTTGTAAGTATCTTTGCAAGCGAAAAGTTGTAATAGACACGTCCAATATGGTTGGTAGGTTGGGTAGGGCGTGGGTGGAGCCCGATGTGCAGCCACCTCCACGTAGTGGGTTCTGGGTCACGGATTTCAGTGATAATAAGTGAGCAAAGAGCTGCATAAAAATTACTCCATTTTTACGGAAAAGTCGTATTTTTACTCCTTTCCTTTCACACTGTGTTTGAATTAAGGACACTTTCAGGTCTCTATTTTAAATTTCTGTTTCTTTTTGAAGATTTTTCTTTGATATGCGAGCCTTAGAATGCATTAGTAATACAACCGATTCCAATTTATAATAAGTCAAAGTTTCAGTCATTTTACCTTAAATTTCAAAAAATGATGCATAAAGAACGAACAGAAGATATTGGCCGATTCGAAGCGGGTTTTGCAGGTATATTTCTAATAAGTGTGGGCCACTTTTCCCAGGTAGCCGTTTCTGATAAATGAAAAATTTGTTAAAATGACCCACCCTAATGTACATACTTATGTACATATGCATGAATGTATGTATGCATTCATGTTATCAATTAATGAAGTACGTATTTACATACATATGCGGGGGAAATGCAATTTCATTTGACTGCAAAACTATTGGGGCATATTCGTAGACGAAATAAAGACGACTTTGAAGTTAAAGTTTGTCAACCCCAAATAAGAGGAAAGTTATTATATGTATATATAGTATGTGCATGTGTAAGAACGTTATCAATAAATAATTTTCGAGGTTGTTTATGTATGTATGTGTATATGTACCCTGTAGGGAAACGAACTAGTGCGGAACTGGTTCGGTTCTAGTGCGTTTGGAACCATGACTAGTACGCGTTAATTCTCTTTTGCATGCTAGCGACTGGCGAATTTAACATTGCGATGTCCTAGGAAGTGCCAATTGTCCCCCGTTGCATCCCTTTGGCTCTAGTTCCGAACCAGTTCTAAATCCGACAGATAAGATCTAGTTCGTTTTGCATCCCTTTTTCTATAGTTCCAAACCAGTTCCTAATTCGACAGATGAGATCTAGTTCGATCTGCATCCATTTTGTATGTGTAGTTCCCAACCTGTTATAAATTCGTCACCTTAGATATATATTTCTAATCAGGCTTGTCGAAACATTTCCCTTTTATATTAAATACGATCGGTAGAAGGAAGGACAATACCATCACAAATGTTTAAACGCATTTATTAAAAATTTAACCACATTAGTAGTAGTAGTAGTATTAAACTTAAGTAGTAAGTAAAAAACAAAAGTGCGTTCTGTTTAAAAGTAAAAATATTAGTTCACTTTGTCTTACTTGTATAAATTTAAGCATATTGATTTTACGTAAATTCGGTTCTTTTTAAG